CGCGGCCAGGCAGGGAGCCTCCAAGCCCAACATCCCTCTCCCAGCAACTGGGCCAGCAAAGTGAGTCCGGGTGGCCCCATTTGCTCTCACACATGAAGATACAATCACATACTCCTTCCCTCAGTGAAGTCTAAAGGACAGGAACATAGTAGCAGGATTTATTGTCAGCATCAATATGAAACTATTTGTCCCATGATATGAAACTGTATGTACACACTTTGCTATATTATCCCCATGGAAATGTACAAGAGACAAATCATCAAAAAGAAAGAAAACTTGTGAGCCACATGTTATGCTTTTAACTACTGGTATATAAAGGTGTTTTTCTTCTGCTTGTTTGTGTTGCTACTGCTTTCTTATGTTATTATATTATTTATTGATATTTCAGTGTATATCAGTAAAATTTAATCTGATGATGCAGACTGGAGTCCACAAAATATCTCCATATTCTGTCTTGTGACAGAAATTTCTTTTCCAGTTAGTCTCAAACGTGTATTGGGATGTGTGTGTGTGTGTGTGTGTGTGTGTGTGTGTGTCTTTCTATAATAAAAATTTAAAATATATACAAACACACATAATGCAGCACACAAATCCTTTTAGATGATAAATGACTGGGTTGTAAAAAAACCCACCTCATTTGTGCACCTCATTCATAATAATAATAATAATAATAATAATAATAATAATAATAATTTATATCCTGCCCTTTGGCGGCTTACAACAATAAAACCATACAATATATCCCAAAACATGATCCTTCCCCCCCCTTAAAACAGTATTAAATCAATGAAAATTAAAACTACAAATTTGAATAATTAAAAAATTAAAGACTTTATAAACATAAGATAAAATAAAATTAAATAAAATTGGCCCAAGGTAATGTTCTTCATCCATCAGTAGATGGGGCCACGCGAAGATCATTGAGGGTGGGAGTACCCGAGGCCGAGATAATTAATCTGGAAAGGCCTGCCGGAAGAGATCCGTCTTGACAGCCTTTTTAAAGCTGTCTAACGATGTTAACTGACGGATCTCATCCGGCAGGCCGTTCCAGAGTTTGGGGGCGACAACAGAGAAAGCCCTCTGGGAGGTAGCCACAAGCCTCGATTTTTGGGGCTGTAGCAGATTCCTCCCAGAGGACCGGAGTGTGCGGGGAGGATTGCATGGGAGGAGGCAATCCCTGAGATAGCTTGGAGCCAAGCCATTTAGGGCTTTAAAGGTGATAACCAACACCTTGTACTGGGCCCGGAAGCTGATAGGCAGCCAGTGGAGGGACTTCAAAACGGGAGTAATGTGGTCCCTCCTAGATGTTCCTGAGACAAGCCTGGCTGCCATATTTTGTACGAGCTGTAATTTCCGAACCAAGCACAAGGGTAGCCCCATGTAGAGCGCATTACAGAAATCAAGGCGTGAGGTTACCAGTGCGTGCACAACAGTTTCGAGATCCCTTACTTCCAGAAAAGGGCGCAGCTGGCGTATCAGCCGAAGCTGATAACAGGCGCTCCTGACTGTCGCATTTACCTGATTTGTCATCAGGAGCGACAAGTCAAGGAGCACCCCCAGACTGCGAACACAGTCACTGGAGGAGAGTGTGGCCCCATCCAGGACTGGAGGTTGCAACCCAATTCTTGGTTTCGGGGCCGCTACCGTGAGCACCTCCTTATGAGTTTTATTTTTAAGTGAAGACTTTCCTCCAGTCTTCATCATGTTAATTGCTATTTTGCCATTATTGTATAATTATTTTCTGTGTATTGTTTGCATACCACCTAAGTCTTCAAGTTGTGGAAGGTACTTTAGAAATTTCCAAATAAGCAAGCAGTATTAAACTGAAAAACAAACTTACAGCAAAGCACTGTGTGAGAAGGGCCAGTCATCAGATATATATTTTACGTGCTAACCAGAAATGTCTTACTGCTTTCCTACAGTTTTTCTATCAACATGTCATGCATTGTGCTCTCCAAAAGTGCAGGCTCATAGAGGGCCTCGGCAGATGGCTAATTGAGCTGTCTTCC